TTATGATGGCTGTAATGATGACGATGATGATGATGAACTCTCTTTACCTGTTATATACCTCTCTTTTGGTTTATAACAACATACGGTGTTCAAGAAAAAAAAATGAAAAAAAATTCTGAAAAGTTTTTCATACATTTGACCTGCTAATGAATGGATGGGCCTTTTTTTTCTCTTTCCAAACTAAAAGAATAAAGTTTAAAGCAAAAAAAAACCAAGTCTGTCAGAAATTGGTCAGACAGTCAGACGACGGCGTCGCCATCATCATCATCTTCATCATCATCATCATCATCAGTAACCGTAGTCGTCTTCATGGTCGTCGTCGTCGTCGTCTTTTTGGTTGGACAAATGTGAATGAATGAATGACTGTAAGAAACTTTTTTTTAGGGGCCAAATGATGAACACACCGATCGATCGATCGGTTGGTTGGACGGTCAAAGTTGATGATGGGTAGAGGCGTTTTTGATTTTTTCATATTCTGTCTGTCTACGTTTTTTTTTCGTTTGCGGCCTTTTTTCTTATGTGTAGGTCGGTATATCTGACCTGACCCATAAGGAAAGAGCCAAAGAACAAAGTAAAAAACATAAGAATATTTGATCATCAAACACATACACACACACACACAAGATGGTTTGGCGCTCCTTTTGACTTTCGACCCCAAGTAACAGCAACAGTGCATAGAAAAAGAATTACCGAATCAAAAAAACCAAAAAACCTTCAGGGTCTAGCAATAGTGATAACATGGTCATTATTGAATGGCGCCATAGATTCTATTAGGAAAAACAACGAACCACCGCATACACACACACACACACACAAAAAAACATAGAAATCATCAATGTATTCAAGGTAAGATGTCATTATCTTCATCATCATCATCAACAACGGTAATGTTTCTGTTGTGCATTTTTTTCTTTAAAAAACATTCACTTTTCATTTCTATTTACTAACTGATTGAAACAATTTCAAAACAATCAATTCCGCCGTTTTTTCATTCATTTGATGTTTGTTTCTAATACCAATTTTTTTTTACATATAAACAAACAAACATTTCAATTCAATGGGTATACCATTGAAGAATAGAACAAAAAACTACCAATTTTTTCAAGGTTTTAAATTTTTTTTTTTTTTTTTGAAAAAAAATTATCTATCCAAACCCGATTATTATCGTCATCATCATCATCATCATTGTTGTTGTTGTCGTTAGTATGTAATCAATACCTATTATGGTCAATTAACTTTAAATAGACCACTTCTTTTTTTTCTACAACTTTCTCCTTCTTCTTTTCTTCTTCTTGTGTGTGTGTGTTCTTGACTAGCTATTGTTGTCGTCGTCGTTGTTGTTGTTGATATTTGATAAATTTTCCATTTGTTTGTTATAATCAAAACGAATTTTAATGTCAATGTTTACCGTCAAACAAAACACACAGAGAGAGAGAGAGAGAAACGAAAACGAAAATTTCCAGGGACAACAATCATGATGATGATGATGATGTTCAATGTTTTAAACAGAAGAAAAATAGATACATTCATTGATTTGTATATGAATTTGATATATTTTGGCCGTCACCGCTATATATAATATATATATTTGATGGATATATCATTACATTATTAGAATCTATGATTATTATCATTATATCATTATTATTATTATTATTATTATTACTACTATGATTATGATTATCAATCAACAAATTATCAACAATTTATTTATGGATAAATAGTTTTCACACACACACACACACACACACACATACACAAACAGTTAAACATATGAAAACTAATCATTATTATCATTATAATCATCATCATCATCATCATCGTTTATAACTGATGTGGTTAATCGGTAGCGCATCCCATTTGCATCATTATAATTATTTTTTTTTCTCTCTTCATTTATTCATTCATTGATTCATTCAGAAAAACAATCAATATTGTGTGTGTGTGTAGGTTAATGAGAACAAAAATTGATTGTCCAGCTTAATGAACGATTTTTGTGTTTTTGGTTGTTGTTGTTGTTGTTGTCAGATGACCACAGAATTTATTTTTTTTATACATTTGATTATAATGATCGGTATTTAGTTCTTTGATCATTCATTCAGTGATGATAGACAGTCAGACAAAATCATAAGACACAGAAAAAAACAAAAAGGAACCTTACACTCAAACCAGTCAATCAAAAAAAAAAAAAAAAAAATTCTTAGTGTTGACCGCTGACCATTCCGATGGTCAATCGGTCGGTGTTCCAAAACAAGTTCGTTTTTAATTACTCGTTTGCAAAAAACAAGGACAAAAATTCTCAACTCACTTTCTAGGCGACAAAAGGGAAAAAAAGGTCGAAATGAAACAAAACAAAACAAAACTTGAAACCTGGTGTGGGCAAGTTTTTTTTCTGGTGTTTTTTTTAAAATTAATTTTCATCATCTTTATCGGTGTGAAAAAGAATTGATTGATTTTTTTTCTTCAAAACACACACACACACACATAAAATGATCCAAAACGAATTGGACAGGCGAACAAACAAACAAATAAACAGAAAACAAAAATCCATGCCAGTAAATATGAGACAATTATATCAGGTGCTGATAACAGGTAAACAAAATGCAAATTTTACAACGAAAAAAAAATTAAAATAAAATTTCAAGTAGCCACTGAAAATAGATAAATAAAAAAAAAAAAAAAAACAATCATCTTCCTGATGATGATGATGATTACCACGATGATCAGAAAAAAATACGTCCAAAATAATAATAAACAAATAGGAAACGAAAAAACAGAGAAAAAAAATGTAATCAAATCTGGATCATCATCATCGTCAGTTGCAATCAAATTGTCGAGAAAAAAAAATTGAAAAAAAAAATTTCGCGGCCATTCATCAGCATATATGAAATGAGCGCCAAAAAAAAAATTGGAAATATGATCACCATCATCATCACTAAAGACATATAAGGATAATCATCATCATCATCATCATCAAACCAATCTTTCATCATCATCATCATCGTTTGAATATCTTTGATGATGATGATGATGTTTTTTTACCAAAATTTTCTGGTTATAACCCAAAACTAAAAAAAAAAATCAAGCCATCAATCATTTTGGATGGTTTGACGAGGACGATGATATGCTGATGAGATTGAATCTGTTTCAATCTCATCATCATCATCATCATCATCATTTTGATGATCACATCTAGTTACCGTTTTTTTTCATTTTACTCATTTTCAATTGCAACAAGATCTGAGTTGATTTTGTTTCTTTACTTTACGAAAACCAATTATCAATGCACATAACAACAACAACAACAACAACAGCAAATGGAAAAAAAACTCATCAGTCATCCTATTCCAGAATGAAATTCAATTTTTATTTTTCCATACAAAAAAAAAGATTGAGATGAAAAAAAAAATGAAATTTTGGACTGCAAAAATATGTAAATAATATCCATCCAGCCGGAATCCGACCAGTATAATGAAACAAATGATGATCCATTTTTTTTTATTGCCAATAGTTCTTGGAATCTTGGTTTCAATAACACACCATTGATTCCATTTCTCTGATGATCTGATTATCTTTTTTTTTACATTGAATTGAAATGAACATTCATTCAATTTGTTTTTCAAGTTTAATCTTATTGTGTTTCACATATATATATATATTTTATTGCTGTATATACGTGTATATTTACATTGGTTTCTTCACACACACACACATACACACACAAACTGTATTTATTTATTTATTTTTTTTTTTCATTACTGTCGTCATCATCATCATCATCATCATCATGAAAAAAATGGGTGGTTTTTCATGTTCAATAGACCAATAAAGCTTTAGGATATTGTCAATGAAGGTGGAGCTTTGCCATAACTTAACAAAAAAAAAAAAAAAAATATACACACCGAAACTGTATATCTGTTGTAATCATTCAAGGATCCACAAAATGGTAGAGAGAGAGAGAGAGAGTTTCAAAAAGCTAGATTTTCAAGTTTTTTCCACAGATCTCACACACACACAATATATTCGTGTATAGCATGTGTGTGTGTGCTGTTTTGCGCCAATCATTCAGTCAGTGTATATTCAAGTCAATTCGAGTATGCGTCGAAGAAGAGAAGAAAGAAAAAAATAAAAAATCTCAGTGATCATTCAGAAAAAAAAGTTTGTTTTGTATACAACAAAAAAAAATCAACAACAACAACAACAAAAAATTCATCGTTATATGCATCATACGTGCGTGTTTTGTGTTTGTATTACAAATCTGTATTACAAATCTCGATCATCACAACAACAACTGATCCATTTGTTTACCGCAACAATAAATTCCTTCAAATTGATTAAAGAATTATATAATTGTTTAACAGCAAACAAAAAAAAAAATTCTGAAATTTTGTCTGAAATTCTGAATTATCATCATCATCATTATTAGATGAACGACGACAACTACTATATACAACACACACACACACACACACATGCTAGAATTTGAATGATATGTGATTATAATCTCTCATCTCTTCATCAGATAAAAAAAAAATATATGAAATGAATAAAAAAAAAACAACTAAAATCTCAATCATATACAATGCATACATGATAATTACAATTCTCCAATTCATTCATTCGATGATGATTGTTATTATTATCAATTATTACATTTGTGTTTGGACTATATAATTTTTTTTTTCACTCATTCATTCATTCATTCATACACACACTGGTAATATATGTCGATGATGATGATAATTTAATAATATTTGAATCTGAACAACAACAACAACAAACCAAAAAAAGAATCTATTATTAAATTATGATGACGATAATGATGATGTGTTTATATATGTGTGTGTGTGTGTGTATGTTTCATCTTCAAATGTGAAATGTGAATCTCATTATTTATTATTGATCAATTGATCATTATCAACAGAATTCTGTGTGTGTGTGTATGTTGTGTAATGTGATTCTGTGTTTTGATTATCATCAAATGATCATCAACAACATCCATCTAGTAATTGATTGTTAATTGATGTATATTATTACTGTAAATAATTGTAATCTTCATCATCATTATCATCGACAATAATTTCTGTTTTGTTTTGATTTTTGATCACCACGTGTTTTTGTGTGTTTATATTGTTGATCGTTTGATTTATTGATTGATTAATCGAACAACAACTGAATTCAACCATTTAAGCATCACCAACACAAAAAGAGAAGCCAAAAAAAGGCTTAGGAGAAAATATTTGTCATAAAAAAAAGGAACAGAAAAAATTTCACCACGCTGAACCTAACGGATAATTTTTCCACGTACCCAATGTCGGGTACAGTGGACATCTTGGATCATCAAGATATCAAGCCAACACAATCGGCTTTCATGGATATACAACAACAGGCGGCTGTGGCTGGCCTATCGGCCATGTCACAACACCATCATCATCATCCTCATCATCATCAACATCATTCACATCATCAATCGCCATATTCAACATTTCGTTCAACATATGGTGGATCATCGTTAACCAATAATCATCAAACACATGATAATTTTGGTATCGGTGGTGGAGGTGGTGGTGGTGGTGGTGGTGGTTTACAACAAAATCGAACATCATCATCATTGGCCGGTGCATATCCATTTGCAGCTGCAGCTGCAGCCGTATCAATGAATTCACATTCACCATTACATAATAGTTTTTCACATCCGGCCGCATCTCATCCATATCTTGGTTCACCATATGCATCTGCATCAATACCACCACCACCACCACCAACATCATCATTACAACAATCATCAGCAACATCATCAACAACGACAACATTAACCTCTTGTATACCATCATCATGTCCACCACATTCACCACAATCAACACGAGATTCAAAACTCGATTCATGTAAGTTAACATTTAACATACACACAAACAAACATGATTTGAATTCAAGCTTGTTAAATATATCCAATTTCTCACTCCCACCTGTTGGTGTGAGAAATTAATTTCTTTTTGCCTTTTTTTTATTTGTTTTTGTTTTGTTTTTATTCCTGTTTGATTTATTGGATCCAATTCAATTCAATTGGTCCATTGTTCTAATTCTTACCCATATTAACCATCGTCATCATCATCATCATTATTATTATCATGCAAAATTACGAACAGGAAAAAAAACCCCATTTCTTGGACCATGTCATGCTTGACATGATAAAACATTGACTATCGTTGACTCTCAGGATTTTTTTTATAAAAGCAAACAAAAACACACACACACACACAGACAGAAGATATAAATGAGATAAAATGAATGGTAAAGTGAAAAATTCATTCAAGCAAACAATAACAACAACAACAACTAAAAGAACTATGTGGATTTAGTTTTGATATTTTTTTGTCTCTTGTCTCTTGTTTCGTTTCGTTTCGTTGTTTTAGTTAGTTTTACCTTTTGGTTTTTTTTCCCAATCTATCTAATCTTCATTGGCTTAACACACAGTAGCTTTTCTCGTTGTTTGGTTTAGTTTTTTTTTTTTTTTTTTTGAATATAAAAAAAACATATTTATCTACATTAGGAACAAGGAACATTTATCGCATTTAAATGAATGTGGATAGAGTTCATATATCCCATATACATCCAATCCATCCATCCATCCACCTATCTTGTCCAAAAACGTTTGTTATTCGCGACTTATGTCTGTGTGTGTGTGTGTGTGTAGCATACTATAGTAGACGTTATTTTTTTCCCAAGCGAATGAACACTCACTTTACACTTATAAATAAAAAAAAATATAGATAAGGAAATGACAAATGCAGTTATCTTTTCATAGAAAAAAAAATGGAAAGAAAAACTTTATTTTCCATGTCACCGTTTGTCGAATAATTACAGATGATGATGATGTCATTGTATGAATTTTTGACATCAACTTTTTTTTATGGAACTTTTTTTTTTGCCTAAAAACAAAAACATCATGTGTGTGTGTGTGTGTGTGCGTACAATTATTGTATTGCTTGCTACCATCATAAAGATTTGCTTGAATTATTTTGGCATGTAAGTGCGGGGGTCGGTTAGGGATGGGGAAGGCGATTTTGGGTAAGACAAAATAAACCAATCGTTTTAAAATATTATTACACGTAGTATATGTACATACAGTCAAAATTTTTCATCATCATCATCATCATCACTGGTGATGTTCAATCATTCTTGTTTTTGAAACAATATCGATATGGTTGAATTGTTCGTACAGGAGAAAATAAAAAGCTTATAAATAAATTTTTTTTTAAATGCAAAACACAACAAGGGCAGTAGCAGCAACTACAACAACAACAACAACAACGAAAAAAAACCCTTGATCAATATTCTTTCAACCGAATCTTTTGATTATATTCATTTTATTCTCTATGATGATTCTGGTTTGATTTTTGTTTTGTCATTTTCAATCTCTTGTTGAATAATTCTTTTTTTTCGTTGTTGTTGTTTTTCTGTTTTTTTTCTGATTTTGAAAAATCAAAATCAGAAAAAGTTTTTTTCACTCACACACAAACACATGCACAAACTTGGATCAATAAAATGGACACCATCATCATCAATATAGTCAAAAAAAAAAAAAAAAAAAAATTCTGCCATTTTGCAATTCGATACGTTTGTTGTTGTTATCGTTGAATCATTATAGCCTCATGGTGTGTCAAGGTCTGTAAATGCTCTGTGTGTTTGTATATCGAATTACAAGACAAAGAATCCACTATATCACGGACATATTACAATCGGAGACATCCATATATACAAACAACAAGATTCATACGCCTATTCATCATCATCATCATTGATTGACCACCACCAAAAAAAAAAAAAAAAAATTCAAAAAAACACTGAATAAATCTAAACATAAAAAAAACAATACCATCGAGTAACATTACAATATGCAAATATTATAAAAAAAAGCAAGGCGTTTCTCATTGAACAACAACAACAACAACAGCAAAAAACAAAAGCAGAAAATGAAAAAAAAACCAACCAAATGCATGCTATTTCAATTGATTTTTGATTTTTTTGTTTTCATTTGTTTGATAGATGGATAGTTTTTGACCATCAACACCATCACATCATTGAATGGTGGTTTTCTGATGACTTTGATGTCCATTGTTTTAAATATATATTTCTATTGTTGTTGTTGTTGTTTTGGTGGTGGTGGCGATGGTGATGATGGTTTGTGAAGTTTTGTTTTTTTTTTTTCGTTCTCTGATGATGATGATCAAGAAAAAAAAAATCTAAAGTGTCAAAACTTTACGTTTGATGCGTTTCGTTTCGTTTCGTTTTTTTCACCCGAAATTTGATTGATGCCAGCCAGCCAGCCATCATCATCATTGATGATGACCAGTTATGTTATAACTTATGGTAGCCAAACGAAAAACAAAAAATCAAATGCCTGTTTTATTGTTTTGTTTTGTTTTTTATTATTTGCAAAAAAAAAATTTTCATCCATTTTTTCGTCTGTGTTTGTGAGATGTTTGAATGGAATTGAATATTTTTTTGATTGGACAGATGTGTGTGTGTGTGTGTGTGTATAGAAATGAAATGAGAAATTATATTTGAATTGGACACATATTTTTGGCTTAGTTTACTTTTTTTTTTTATATATTGGCTGATGATGATGATGATGCACCGTGCACAATGCTCACATTCAAAGTAGAAAAAGAGAAGAGAGAGAGAGAGAGAGAAATGTTCAACGAAAATAACATCAAAGATTAAATGACAGTTAATTATATGTTTGTTGTTAGGTTTCGAATTTTTTTTTCGTTTCGTTTCGTTTCGTTTCTCTTGCCATTTCGTTTGTTTGTTTCATTCATTTTCTACATCCACATTTCACTGACATTGGCGACTATTTGAAAGATACAATAAACAACAACAACAACAACAATTCCACACAAAATGATAGCTACCACAATGATGATTTTGATGATGAAAGTTTTTATTTTTTTTTCAATCTTATCTTCAAAAAAAAAAAACTTCTTATATTCAGTTAAAGATATTCGGGTATTTTTCGTGGTTATACATACAATGAATGAATGAATGAATGATGGATGTTTTTGATTGGTCAGTGCCAAATAACGAAAAATTTTTTCTTTCTTTTTCATCACATTAAATCATTGAATTGGTAGCTACATCAAGAGCAAAAAAAAAATAAATAAAAGTCATTGGACTTGATTTTGAGTCAATTTATATAATAATAATCCAATTCATTTGCAAGTTGAAAAAATAACATATACTACCATGCTATCGTTATCATTATAAGTAATAATCGATTGTTTCGTTCATCAAATCATTTGTTAGCACTAACAAAAAAATAAATTAATTAATCATCTTGTGTTTTTTTTTCATTCATAATTTAGCTAATAACAATTCCAAGAATAATAATAACAGTGGTGGTGGTGGTGTTGTTGGTGGCATCGATTCTGAACCAACAACCGGTACAACGATACGTGTTAATGGAAAAGGAAAAAAGATGCGTAAACCACGTACAATATATTCAAGTTTACAGCTACAACAATTGAATAGACGATTTCAAAGGACACAATATTTGGCCTTACCTGAACGTGCCGAATTGGCCGCTTCGTTAGGATTGACACAGACACAGGTATGTTTTGAATCAATAAACGAATACATTATCAGATTATTAATGTAATAATGTAAATGTAAACAAACGAATAAAAATCCTCATTCTCATTATTGATTGTGATTGACATTTTTTTCAGAATCATGTGTTGATTTACACTTCAACAGTGTGTAAATATTATTCCATTAGTGGTTGAGTAAATTGATTTGTATGGTGAAAAAAAAAATCAATAGAACAAATGATTGAGTGATTTTTTTTTCTTGACACTTTTTATTGGTTCATGTGTGACACTTTCACTGTTTTTTTTGTGTGTCGATCAACATCAATGATGATGATGATGATGACGATGACACCAATGCTCACAGTAGGGTCCTGTCTGGGTCGTCCTGCTGATTTCATTGGTGTCTGGCGACAGTAAAAACTACAAATTCCTTGTAGCAAAAAAAAAAAAAAATGGACCACAGAATTTTTTTTTTTGAGAAAGTCAATGTCATTAAGGCAATTTTTTTTTCATTTACAATCCGAAAAAAAAAAACAAAATTGAATAAATCAATTTTCGTTGATTCGTGTGAATTTTTTTTTTTTTTCTTCACTTCTTTCTTATCTATTTTTTTTCATATAGATTGATTTTTTATTCAAAACAGAAGTCATTTTTGTTGTTGTTGTTGTTGTTTTGTTGTTGTTAATTATCACTTTCTGTTGTCTATATATGACGGAGATTCAAAGATATTGACAACAACCATAACAACTGAGAAGAATGCATGCAACCGTAAATTGATTTGCATATAAACATGGGTTTTTTTTCTCTACAAAAAAAAACAACAACAACAACAACAAGAACCATGACAAAGTCGTGGTCATCATAATAATCATCATCGTAATCAAAGACATTTTTTGTTTTGTTTTTGTCACACACACACACACACACACACAAAGTGTACAAATTACCATTTTTTGTAAATAAAAATCAATTCAAAAAAGGCTAACTAACTTTCAGTGACGATGACTTGTTTTTCGTTTCCATTATCATTTATTTTCACGTAGATGAGATTTTTTTTTTTTTGTTTTTCTACAGTTTTTTTTAAATGTTGATTGTTTAAAAATGCAAATAAGGTGTTTTTTTTTCTCCACTACTTGGTGTTGGTTGATGGTTGATGGTGTATATCAAGCATCAAGAGAAACATTAAATGTAGTCACATTTATTAATTATCCACATCATCATCAGAATCAGAATCAGAATTTTGACCATTCTACCACATACACACACACATTCTATCCACCCTTGAAACACGTACATCATTTATTTGATTAATAGTATTCATCATCATCATCATCATCATTATAACCTAATCCAATAAAATGATGAAAATTTTTTTTTCAGATTTAATGAAAAATTAGGTAACACTGATTTTTTTTCCTTCAAACATCAAAAGTCCATGGACCAAAAAAAAAAAAAAAAAAAACGATATGGATTTTTTTCCGGCTATAAACAAATGAGTTTTTTCGTTGCTGTTGTTGTTGTTGTTTTTCCTTCTAATAAATGATTTCCTTTTTCATGTTTTTGTGTGTGTTTGTGACATAGTCGCCAATAGCAGCAGCAGCGGCAACGGGAATTGTAGTAAATGGAAAAAAAAGAAACATTTTTTGAATGAATGAACGAACGAATGTGATGAATAATTATAATCATAACCAGTAATTATAACTGTTGTTGGATTGACAACAACAACAACAACAACAACAGCAGCAAAAAAAAGAGCATGTATATCGTTTGTTTTGTATTGAATAAAGTTTTTTTTTTTTTTGATCTATCTATCTGGTTGCAAAGTTTTTCTTTTTGGCTTCAATTTTTTTTCTCGTTGTCATTCTGGATCCAGAATAACAATATAATACATACATGGAATCAATAATGGCAAAGACAGCGACAACAACAACAACAACAACAAATGAATGAATACAATGACAATGACGATCAACATTCTTGAACAAAAAAAAAACAAATTTGTCAGACATTTTGAATAACCAGACAATCAATCGGTTCCAGATGGATATTATTCCCATACAAGTAGTAAAACTGTAAAAGGTATTATCATCATCAGCTTCTGTTGTTGATCGTTTTGTTTTTTGTATTTTTTTCCTCACATTCTGGATCGATTTTTTTTCTTTTTTTGTTGTTTTGTTTTCGATTGAATATTGCGTGCAATCGAGTCGATTGCTTGATATATGCAAATTTATTTACATTCTAATGTGAATAGAATTCGTGAAGAGGATGAGAAAAAAAAAGATTCTGGAAAATATTCTTCTAGTAGTGTATCGTCACGTAAAATAAATCTCATCGATGATGATCATCATCAGGCATGATGAGATTTTTTTTTTAATGATCATTATCATTACATCATACGGAATGAATGATTTCCTTGAACATCGAACAACATTAACAATCATCATAAATCAATAAAAAAAAATCTTTGATCTAGTTTTTTTTCCACTTTAAAAAAAACAAAAAAAAAATTATTATGCAACCAAAATGTGTGTATTTTATTTTGCATAAATTAAAAAATTTTCAGTTGAAATTTCTTTGCATCAAAAAAAAAAAAATTTTTGCTTTACACACTCTCATTAGGCTGATCATTAGTCATCATCATCATCATCATCATCATTCGTTTTTTTTTCCACTGGCATTCGATATTGGTGTCTGATATATTATGCTGGTGCAGGTTATTTGTAACAAAATTTAAATTTTTTTTTTTTTTTTTGAAGGTAAAACGATCATCATCATCATCAATAGGAATTGAAACAAAAATTTTGGCATCATCGATTTGTTGATTTTTTTTCTGGATGCATCTCATACAACTATACTATACATTCTGGCCAGCCATTGGAGAGAAAGAGAGAGAGCGAGCAAGAGAAAGTCATTTATTTTCGACCTCGAATTAAGGTGTGGGTTTTTTTTTATACATCCATACAATGTATGTGTGATTGTATGGATGGATGGATGGATGCAAACTATCCAACCAAACCAGAAAAAAACCGAAAAAATAACAACAACAAAACGACATTTAAAAAAGATGGTACACTTGGTGATGGCAGTAGTAGTAGTAGTAGATGATATACACCAATGAGTATTATATCAATTGCTATCATCTATCATCATCATCATTGATGCATTGAATTTTTTTACTTCTTGCATCAGCCACCGGCAATGCATGATGATGATGATCAACATGATCAAATTTTATTCTACCAAAAAAAAAAAGAGAGAGAAATTTCTTTTTGCACATTATTTAGGTGAAAATGAATGAATAATCTCATAACGAATGTTTTTTATTTTGTAAAATAAAAACAAAAAATCAAAAATTTAAACATATGCCAATATGGTAGCAATAGTGGCGATGATGATGATGATGATGATGAAAACGATTGGATCGCTAAAAATTTGCCAGCCACCAGTTTACCTTGGCTGGCAAATACACACACACACACACAACAACAACAACAACATTGTGTAGATCTACACACACAAGCAATAGAGAGACCATTGTTTTCAAGTTTACGTTTACATTTTGTTTGAATTGAAGAAATGTAAAAATGAAATGAAAAATCAAAGAGAAAAAATAACGAAAAACATCGTCGTTTATCATCGTTCATGTGTTGTAGTCGTCGTCGTTCCAGAGTTTTTCATTAGTTTTTTTTTACATTTCTGGTGAAACATCACTTCATCCTTGGTGAAAATAAAAAAAAAGTACACCAAGACTTTTCGTTTCTTTTTTCAAGACTTTCTGATGATCCATTGTTTTCGTTATTTCAAGTTTTTTTTTCTCATTCTCATTCTCATTCTCTCTCTCTCGCTCACTAAATTGACTAATTCAATGAGACTGTCTGATTGAATTGAACTTTACTTTCGTTTTTTTTTATTCTTTTTTTTCTTGTTTGTTTGTTAAAATTGTAATTCAAGCTATTGTTGTTATTCATTTGATTTTTGTTTTTGTTTTGGTTCAAAAACAAAAAACAAAAAAAAAAAAACAGAAATTAAGACCAAATAAGACCGACAAATGAAAAACAAAAAATTGAGAATAAACTAGTGATGATGATGATGATGATGATGACCACTGTACATTTGGAAATAAAACAACACACACACACACACACACACACACACGCAAAACCAATAGAATTTGAATCAGACCGACAATAAAAGCTCATCATCATCATCATCATTGCACAGCATGAGGTAATTATCGAAAATGATTTTGTTTTGTGGCCAAAAAAAAGAGTTCTAATAGGAGGTGTGCATATGTGTGTATGTGTGTGTTTTTCTTATTGAATTTAGCCGCAGAAAAAAAGATTTATCATCATCTTTTTTGCAATATTGATTGATGAATTTGTTCATAATTTTTTTTTTCATTTCTACCCGCGGTTAATATAGCAGGCCTTGAAGCAGTGTGTGTGTGTGTGTGTGTGCGACATGAAGATTTTGTTTTAGTTTTTTTTTCTCAAGAACAACAAAAAAAATGAAAGTTTAATAATCCATTATGGATCCATTATTTGATATGTGGATTCATGCATGGAAATACCTGTATGTGTGTGCGTATGTGATCAATAATCTGGGTGTTCCAAAAAAAAAAAAAAAAAAAAAAAATACTTCCTCATCCACTCATTCAAAAATATTTTCATTTGATTTTTTCAGATATGAATGAAATGAATGAATAGATTGTGTGTGTGTGTGTGTTTGTGTTTGTGTGTATTGAGATTGAATCGATTGCGCGATACATAAATGAATGAATGAAAAAACATTGATCGAGGCACGCAATCACTTGTTTTCATCATCACAAGTGTGTGTGTGTGTGTGTGCATGGCTTGTTGTTGTTGTTGTTGTTGTTTTTCTTGATTATGGATGAAAAGATTTCATGCAAAATAATGGAAAAAAAAGAAGAATCCAAATCATACAAACAAATATAAAAAACATTTGAAATAAAAGACAAAGCATTCAAAAATCTAGTCTCAACAACACGCGAAACAAGAGTTTGGGTTTTTTTTCTTTTTTTCTCGCTTGATTCATTCATTGATTTTTGTTTGTTTGTTTGTTTGCTTTGATGATGATGATGATGATGATGGGAAATTATTTCAAAGTAGACATACAAACACACGCTTTGGATACGGATCGCTTGGCACATTTGCCGATTTGGCAATGTCCAAATCTATGAAACAACAACAACAACAACAACAAAAATAGAATACCTTCACATCGAAGAAAAAAAAAGTAAAACAAAACAAAAGGTGAAAGAAAATTTAGTTCACATAAAAAAGTTGTGTTCATTCAGTCTATTTTTTTTTTCTTCTTCTTCTTGTGATTTTCCTCTTCTTCCCTTTATTTTTATTTTTTTGTTTTTTGTTTGTTTGTTTGCCCATATCAGTCAATCACTGAGTCAGTGAGTCAATGAGTCAGTCAGAAAAAAAAAAAACACAGACAGACAATGAAAATTTTTTTTTATTTTTATGATGATAACCAATTTATTAATTTTTGTTTTTGTTTTTTTTTTTTTTTTTTTTGAATCATTACAAATATTATAGGTGAAAATATGGTTCCAAAATCGTCGTAGTAAATATAAAAAAATGCTCAAATCAACACAACCAGGTGTTGGTGGTGTTGTACCACCATCAACAACAACAAATGGTTCTGCTGGTTCCGGTTCAAGTTTAGGTCATCCACCAACGGCAACAACACCACAAACACCACCAGAAACACCAGAAACAAATTCACCACCAAGTGTTGGCCCACCACAATCAATGTTATCATCAACGCCTGTTGGTGGTCAACAACAATCACAACAACCCGGTAATGGACCCGGATCATTAGGCTCGACAAATTTATCATCATCATTATCGAGTACAGTTAGTCCACCATCGGCAATGAGTCCACCAATTACCTCATGGGATATGAATCCAGCTAAAACGGCAATGGCAAATAGTTATATACCACAATATTCATGGTATCATCATGGACATGATCCATCTATTAATCAACAATTATTAACGTAAATAAATCTGATGGAATCCAATCAATTTTTGGAACCACCACCATCACCATCACCACCATCATCATCATCATCAAATTAATAATATATAATTGTCATATCATCATCATGAAAACAGACACACACACCAATTCATTTGTATAGCCAGTTTGATTCTCATCATCATTTTCATTTTCATTTTCATTTTTTAAATTTTACATTCAATCAATCAATATATCATTATTACAATTCATATCATATATAATTGATAAAACAAAAACAGAAAAAAAACATTCAGAATTCAATAATTTAATTGTTAAAAATTTTTTTTCTTTTGATTCCATTCCATTCCATTCATTCATTATTACTGAAATGTATTTGTTGTGTAATTTGGATAAAAAAAAAAATTTCCGGAAATACATCATAATGGATAATTCACCACATTCAATCACTCAATTTTTTTTTCTCAAGTTGTATGATAATTATCATTTCATTATTATTATTATTATTATTATTGATTTGATTGATTGATTTGATTTGATTTCAACAACAAAATATGCAAATATCAACTCTGTCTCTCTATATATCTTTTTCTCTCATTCGATCGTTTTCTATATATATAAATAATATATATGTGAACGCAAATGGCGACACAGATAAAAAAATAAATAGGTTTTTTCAAATTTTTTTTCCTTCTTTTTTTTACGTCTTATACATGTATGTACGCAATATGTATTTTTTGGTCCAAAACTGACTTTGGAACTTTATCGATTCCACTATTTTTTTCATTGATTATCATCATCATATGATTTTGTATATTTGTACATTGTCCACATGATGATGGTCATATGGGTGGATCTTTTTTTTCTGTTTTGTTTTGTTTATTTCGTATGGAATTTAAAGGATCTGTTCTGATATGTATGGAATTGAAAATGGAGAAAAAAATCCTTGAAAATCTTGACATGCAAAAAAAAAATTCTTCTTTATATAAATAGTATCTAAGCAACAAAACGACGAAAGAAAAATCAATTTTTTTTTTCTGTAGAGGGAGAAAAGAATCCAACTTGAACAAATGATCAATACGATTTGATTAGTTAATAGTGCTGTTGTTGTTGTTGTTGTTGTTGTTGTTTTTTCCAGAAGCACGAAATGCACCTCAATTGGATACGACATTTGAATTGAAGGAAAAAAAATGAAAGAAATGAATGAATGAAGAAAGAAAAAAGAAGAAGAAATGGAAAAAAAAAAATGAAAAGATTTCGGCACGATTTCCCAAGCGAACCTACAAATAATAAACAAAAACAAACAAACAAACAAGAACAAAGTCATGGTTGGTTGGTTGGATCGATCGAAGAAAAAAAAAAAAAATTCAAACAACCATCAACAACAACAGAAGTAGAAAAAAAAGGATTTTTTCCCTCTACATAAATTCAAGATAAATATAAACACACACACACACACACACAGGCAAAAACATCTTCCATTGTCATCATTGTCGAATACGAGGCAAAAAAAATCAGCAACAAGAACAAGAATCTTCTAAAAATAAAATTTAAGCATATAAAAAAAACGGATGTCGAAATTCAAATGGAACACATAACACAACATAACACAACACAAAACTGACATGCCATAAAACATTTTTCGTTCTATTTCGATAGATTAAACGCAATGGATGAAAGTTTTTGAATGATTTTTTTTTTCGTTGTTCATGCCCATCATCATCATCATCATCACAATTCATAGTCTGTATATGTGTAACATCCGACATTCGAATGCGAATTGAATCAAATTGAATTGAATACAAATTGTCATGATTGAATTGTGGATGTGTGTGTGTGTGTGTGTGTGTATGAAATTCAGAAAAGAAACTCCTGAATGAATGAGTGAAAGAAACAAAAAAAAAATTGAATGGCAGCCTAATTGAAGCAAAAAAAAACTTTTTTTTTCATTTAAACAAATCCGGTGACATGAAAATAACTGGTATGCTCATCATCATCATCACACAAACGAACAATATTCTAGTGAATCATTTGGAGAGAACAACAACAACAACAACAATGGAATGATTATTATCAAGGAAAAAAAAAGACAAAACAAAAAAACGAAAGTGTGACCAATCATGATTCACACACACACACACGTTTTACAAATTTTTTCACTATGTGTATATTTAAAAGATGGTAAGGTATTGTCGGCCAAATCATCATCATCATCATCATCAAGGTAATGTAGTGTATGTGACTATGGTTCAACAATGATTATATTGATGAAAATTCTGTTAATGTCCATGTCCATTTGTGACACGTGACAAGCCAACAGAAGAACAAGAAGAAGAAGAAGGATAAAAGAAAACTTTTCTTTCAATCAAATGGATGATCTTTTTTTTCTTTCTTTTCTCTCTCTCTCTCACACACACACACACTGTTAAGCATCATTAATATATGTGTGCGATGCTGTTGTTGTATATCGTTGAAGATAATTTGGGGCCAATTATCTTCGACGATAATTTGACGAACTTTAATAACAACGAAACAAGAGAAAATCTTGGCCATGTCCGTGTATCTAACATAGCCAAAGTGATGATGAACATTGGAATTTTTTTTCTTCATTTTTGGCTTCACAAAATCGCATCGTGACAAACTGGTCCTCGTCGTCGTCATCGCCGTTTGTCGATTGATTATTATGAGTGAGGCAACCGAAATTGTCGATGGTGATTTTCTATTTTGGTCGATTTTTTTTTGTTTTTCTATTCAAACAATTTCATACATCCATCCTACGCATCATTTTCGGGACAATCAAGTAATTCCGTGTAAGTGTAGGTTTTTTCTCTCGTTGCTGATTCAAAGTTCGTGAAATCTCTTTGATCACTGAAAATTGATCAACATTTTTTTGTTTGATCATGTCCAAGTGTGGGCGTCATTATGTTCATTCAATTTTTTTTTCTCGTTGCTGATTCAAGCGATTATCAGCATCAATTTTTCTTATTCGCTTGATTATTATCGATCACCATCATCCATTCAGTCAAGAACATAATCACGGAACAAATGTTTGAAGAAAACAAAACAAAACAAAAATTTTTTATTTACATACCATGACGACTGAATATGTTTTTTTTTTCGGAATTCCGGAATTTGTCGCTGCACGATTGATGAACCATTTTGAACATCATGATGGCTTTTTTAAATTAAATTTTTTTTTTAAAAAAACTTAAGCATTCCATCATGGTCATGGTCTCTAGAATATTGATATTTTAAATGAGAAAAATAAAGAATGCTTTACTCTCTGGATTTAGCTAATTCAAAAAACAATGGAAAAAAAAAACGACAAATCAATCTCTGAAAATGATAAAATGAAGTGAAAAAAAATAGCGAGATGATTGGACCGATATAATTGGTTTTAATGGATACCAATTGACTCTCATTAAATTGAATGAATGAATCAATGAATTGAGAGTCAACCAAATTGCCAAATTGTACAAATTGTCGTTCGCTCTACACATATATTACATCTCTATTATTATGAAACCTATCTTGTTGTCTGATGATGTTTTTATTTCTGATTTAGAAAATGTACAGACACATAAAATGTGATGAAACATCCAACATGAATAAAATGATTGGCGCCAATGAAAAGAATCCAAATTATCATTATCATTATTATTGCTATTCAATGGATTATATCGATTTCATAATTGACGAATTTTGAATAACAAAAAAGATGCCGAAACGGGTATCAAAAATCTATTAAAGTTATATTTGATATATGTCAAGTATACAACAAAAGAACAACAACAACAAAAAACACTAAACGTTTGTGAACTATGGCTTTTTTTATCTGGTTTCGGTTTTTTTTTTTTGGTATTCAAACAAAAGAAGATGCGTGTTTGATCATCATCATTGTCGAACACACACCGCAGACATCATCATTAGACAATAGACCCATCAAATTTAAATCAAACACTGGCTATCGATCAATAGAATATCAATCTATATGATCGATAATATTGAACAATGGACATAATTTGTTTTTAGCACGAACAATATAAAAATAGTGACCGGTTTTTACATAATTTTTTTTGTTCAAATAATTTGTGTGCTACCTAATAGATATGATGATAGCATCATTGAATAAGAAGAAAAAAATACCGACAAATAATAATGGCAATAATTTTTTTTCCACTGAAGAAAACAAAATAATCATCATCATCATCATCATTTTTTTTAATACCGCTGACCATTATAATAATGGAAAAACACGGATGGACATTGAATGGACACCATCATCATGGATATAAATAGAATGTCCAAATTAAAAAAAACACGGACGGACATTTTTTTGGCTGTTGTTGTTGTTGTTGAACCCGAATAATAACCGAACCTATATATATATATATGTGTGTGTGTGTGTGTAATGGGTATCGACAATGGAAAAATCAAAACCAGATCAAGAAACACACACAAGAATATTATGCAAATCAACAACAACAACAACAACAACAAAAATGACACACGAACGAATTGGTAATGTGTTTATATTTGATTAATTCATTCATGGAATTTATCATTTGTTCATTTTAAAAACAAAACTGAATACAGAACAATTTAGGCTAGGCCCATAGATGATGATCATGATCATCATTATCATCATTGTCGTACGCTTTATGTTTGGTTAAAATTCAATTTGATAACGTTTGGTTAGTCGAGTTTATTATCATTATTATCATTATGAGAAGTTTTGTATTCATATGTAATCGCTTTTACACACTCAGATATATAGACCTACAATTAATATTAATGACTTATTCTGTATATATAATATATACAGGCAATGTAATGTGTGTATATCACAGCAAAAGAAAAAAAAAGATTTAATTTGTTCATCATTCACATTTTGGTGGTGGACATTTTTTTTTGTGTGGAATTTTTTGTTTCTTTTGAAAATATTTTAGGTGTTTGCTTCACAAATTCAATTAAATTGACAAAGAAACAATGTAAGAAAATACACAAATGACGATTCTGTGAATTTTTTTTTTAACTATAGAGAGAATGGATTGTCAACCGTCTTTGGTCCAGAAAAAATAGAACCAGAAAATCTAAAATCCCAAAGTCAATGCGTGATGATAGGCCATAAATTGATGATGATGATGATCTCTCCAGCACGAAGGATCATCGAACATGTTCAGTTTTTTTTGGCCAAAAAGTTTTTTTATAAAAGATCAATGATCATGAAACAATG